ATACACAATTTAACACTTCAACCATTTTAAGTATATGTTTGTAACACTAATAAATTCACATTGCTTTATAGACAAATTATTTTTTGAACTTATTTCCTTACTTACTCCATTATACAAATCATCCATGCTTAATATAAAAAAAATTCATAAATAAGGCAAAAACTATTAACCATAATACTACCAAATATAACCACTGTTAATGTTTTAATGCATATTCTTCAGATCTTTTCAAAGTACTTTTTAAAAGTGACCATAATTGACTATACTACATGTTGTGGATATTTTGCATTTCAATAAATATAGATTTTCATCATCAATATTTAATGGTGGTATAAAACTTCACTGGAAAGCAAATGGTAAATCTGAATTTGATTCATATTAGATAATGCTGAAGCTAAGTTCTGACTATGTTATGATTTAGATTGAAGGTATTCCCCGCCAAAAGCTTACATGTTAAACAATGCAAGAATTTTCAGACGTGAAATGATTATGAGACTGTTAACCTAATCAGCAGATTAACACACTGATATGGATTAACTGATCTGTAACAGGTAGAAAAATCCTCAGTGAGGAAAAACTTATGGAATGAACTGCTGCCCAATTCTAGCAAATAAAACCAAGATTTTCTTCTACTTTTTTTGGGGGGGAGGGGGTGGATCTAATCCAGAGTTTTGAATATACCACTGAGATATACCTCCAGCTCCAACTAAGATCTGTAAACGAAGGGGGGTAAAGAGGAGACGTAAAAAAGAAAGATCTTCAATAAGTTGTTAAGGGCTTTGGATTTGATATTGGAAGGGTCTCTTATGGCTTTTGCAGCCCTTCTGATTAAGCTCCATCCCCATGTGGCAAAACTGGTGTCTCTCCTTGGAGGTCCTATTATTATCTATTCTCAACCTAGCAGAAAGAGTGTGTGTGTGTGTGTGTGTGTGTGTGTGTGTGTGTGTGTGTTTCTTTTTAAATCTTCCAAGCTGAAATTACTTAGACACTATAGATTTTCTATTCATTTAATTTCTCTATCATTTTCCTAATCATTCAAAAAAAATCTCCTGTTTGATTCATCTCTTTCAACCCACATGGCCAAGCCATCAACATTCATGTTAACAGTTCCTTCATTTCTCTTACAACCATCCCTTCATTTCAGTGCTGACACCCAACCCGGGAACTTATAACCAAAATTTGGATCACTGAAATGGCCTCCCAGATGGTCCCCTTCTCCAGCCTTCTGCCTCTTCAAGTTGTCCTATGTACTACCAGCCAGATTAGTCTTACTCAGATTCTTATTCCATATATCATTCTCCTCCTCAAAAACATTCTACTATTTTCAGGACAGAATTCAAATTCCTTAGCCTGACTTTCAAAACTATTCATAATTACATTCTGCTAACTTCAGGACAGAATTCAAATTCCTTAGCTGGACTTTTAAACTCTTCATTAAGTACCTTTCTTAAAAAAAATTTGAAATTTTATTCCTTATCACTAAAAACTATGAGTACTTTCTATGGCTAAATATCTCTTTACTAAACCCTAACCATTTTCTATTTTTCTTAAATTTGGGATTTAGAAACACTACCCATTCTTTTTACTTAGATACTAGTCATCCAAGATCTTCTCTAATTATTCCAGACCAGATACCCTACCTGTGAAAATTGACTGTACTTAAAATTTATATCCCATATGTTTGCATTTTATCATGTTTTGATTTGTTTCATGTGAAGCTTCCTTACCTGTTTTGTAAACTTCAGGGAATGTGGAATGCTTCTTTTATTCATCACAATGTAAGTATACAGATAGACTGAATCTAAAAATAAAATTTTCAAACTAGGAAATATTTTAAACACAATATAATTTATCACATCTAACTGTCTTTTTTCTCATAAAATAACTTTAATATTTTAATGTTTGCTTTCTTTTAGAAAAAAAAATTTACCTCATGATCTTTTCACCCCAAATCTTATATATTTCAATACCTAAATGTTCCATTTTGACTACTTTGGAAAACATCAGTAATAAATATTCTAGAAGAAAAATACATGCATTAAGCTTATGTGTGTATATATGTTTAAATAAGTTCTAATAACATAATTTGATAAAAAATATTGAAGCCCTAATCACATTCTTGGTTTCAAAACAACAGCTCTAAAGTTAAGAATACCTTTACTTCCCAGGGAAAGTAGTAGAACATTATATTCACAAATTTTAAAAAAAATCATCCCTTTGGAGAAAACTATAAAGTCAAAAGCCCACTTATAAAGAACTGTCAAAATAAAGAATGAGTTTTGGAAGATTACATACAACCAAATACTTTCACTAAAGTCATAAATAAAGATGACCTGTTATAACTTGATTCTGATCTTTCTGGAAAATACTCTCTTACTGTTTGAAATATTAAGGAAACGGTATAAATATTTTTCTTTTCATTCCAGGAATTCTAATTCCAAATAAAGTAGCCGGATTTTAAGAGGTTTCAGTCACAGCTATAAAGAAATATCTAAGTCTTTAGTAGAAAAAGGAGAAGAAGAAGAAGAAAAAGGAGGAGAAGGAGGGAGAAGAAGAGAGGAGGAGAGGGAGAGAGGAGGAGGGGGAGGGGAGGAGGAGAAGAAGAAGAAGGAGAAGAAGAAGAAAAACACTTTATTTTAAAATTGGTTTAACTGAGACACAGCATGCTAAATGAAAAGACCCATTAGAATCAGCTCACTCAGTCACCTTTAGAAGAACAGGAAAAGAAACCTTAAATCTTTGGCAGTTTAGGTCAATAAGGAAAGTTTACATTACACACTTCACAAAAATTATTTTTAAAATAGTCAACCAATAAGCAATTATTTTAGCATATATGAGCTGTTTTACTACATTAAGGTTTTATATACATTATTTCTCACTTAATCATCTCAATAAAATTCTAAAGTATTTTTTTATTTCTAGTTCATAAATCAAAAAGAAATAAAGCTATTTGATTTTTAAGTCACTTATTCAAAGTCATCAAGCAATTAAAGAGGTACAACTTGCATTTAAAATCCAGGTTTTCTAGGTCTACACTTTTGGCTCTTCTTTTCATAACACGTACTATATTGGGCATGCTGGCTGCTTTTAACAGGGGAAGTACATTTTTATTTCTGTAAGAAGCTTTATATATTTTTCTTGCTGGTTTTAGACAAATAAATTGTTAGAAACAGGTGACTATAGAGTACTTGATGTATGTTTTTCCCAGAGAAAATTGACCAAACTTGTTACTTAGTATTCATGCACTAAAAATAATTGTCACCAACCTTGAGAGTATGACATTTTAAACCACCAATGATTATAAGATAGAAAAAGTTTAAGTGATAGATAAACTGTAAATAAACAATACTGTTCCAGGATTTCTTTTTAGAAATTACATTTGGAAAATGTCTTCTGTCATGAGATTAGCTGAATAAGGCTCAGAGAACATTTGAAATATTTATTGGTCAAAATACTAAAAACCTTGCATGAATTAATATGGTCCAGAGTTGCCTGGAATCTAACATCAGAACTTATTAAGCCCTGTCACTCTAAGTCAACTTTTTTATTCCTTAGTCATATCTTAAGAATAAAGAGCCATTAATAGGAAAAAATAGATAACTTTCTAAAATAACAGAAATTTCAAAGAATTATGAGAGGTAAACAGTAAATCTATAAATAGTACAGCTTAACAAATATTTTAATATTCTATTTCCATAGGACTACTGCTAAGTTCAAAGGAAACAATTATTATGAAAGTAATGCTAAAAAGAAAATAGTATGTTTATTTTAAATTATCTTATAAGAATGCCCTGTAGAAATAGAAACTTTTTCAGTATGCTTTTGGAAGCAATAACTGTTGCTGGTTGGATGATTCAATTAACATGAACTATTCTGGCATGTTTCAAAAGCATTACCATTTTAAAACGTAAAAAAATGTCTAAAACTGCAACCATAGTAATAAATTCCGAGTGGATGGGTTGGGGGGTGAGGGAGAAAAACAATGACAAATTGGTCCAAAAGGACACTGAGACTTCATATTTGGAAGACTATTGTGCTGACAATTAGTAACAGAGGAAGCAGAACACAAAACAAGTGAATGAAAAAGGCTGAACTTGCAATGAAAGACCTTATTATAGCGCAGAAACATTATTGTAATAAAGGGGCAATGTACTCTCCTCTATAAAACTTCCAAACAGGCATCCTAGTATCTGTTATCTTCTCCTGCATTTCATTTTTTCATTAGCATCTGCTTGATTATGTATTATTTCAAATCCAAAAGAATTCCTCTATATCTTTTCTAAATTCCAAGGTTAAAGATCCTTCTTCCTCTCTGGCCTTACGCCTAATTTAACTTTACTCAAGATATAATAAATGCTCTAAAATTAACATAAAGAAAGGAGGACCAGAAAAGGAAGTGATTTATAATTAACAACTCAGAGAAAGAAAGAAAGAAAGAGAGAAAGAGAGAAAGAAAAAAAGAAAGAAAGAAAGAAAGATAGATAGATAGATAGATAGATAGATATGTGTCCCTAAAGTCTAATTTGTTTAAAATGAATGTCGTGATCCACACCTGTAATCCCAGCAACTCGGGAGGCTAAGGCAAGAGTATCTTAAATTCAAGGCCAGCCTAGGCAACTTATGGAGACAAGAAAAAAAAAAAAAAGCTGGGGAAATAGCTCAGTGGTGGAAGAGCATCTCTGGAATCAAACTCTAATTACCCCGCCCCCACACAACCACACACACACACACACACAAAGCAATGATTATATAATTCATCACAAATATTCAAATCATCCTGTCTTTGAAGACTGTTGTTTTCCCTATGACTCCTCTTACATAATTAGAAGAGCAATGTTATAAACTTCACATCTAGTGATTCCTCTGCATTAAGACTTAGTTTGCTCAAATGAAAGTAACCAAAAGTTCTGAAATACATCTTCATATACTAATTGAGAATGACAAGATTTGATTCATGATACTAACATACAAACTAGTCTAGAGGCATGGAATGTCCATACCTTCTGCATTGCCCACAGTAGAAAGCATCTTGCCCCAAGGCCCTAAGGTGGTCAGAGATGCTATTGATAGGTGGTAAAATGGAAAAAGCATTAGCCTTGAAACGTGAAATCTGTGGTCTAGTCTCTAGTTCCACCACTGAAGACATGCATTACTCCTGGGAAATTCCATGAGCCAAGTTTCTCTAGGTATAAAATAGAAAAAAGATTATTTTGAAAGAATATTAAAAAGAATTAATGTATGTGTATAATATGGCACATAGATGCTCAACAAATGGTAATTTATTATAATAACTGCTCAATGGACTAGCCAATTTAAGAAATTATTATCTGCTTCTGACAGACAAATCACTGGATTTTAGAAGGACCTCTGAGATCCTTCAGTGAAATTCCTTTACTTTACATATGAGAAAATTCTGAGTCTCAGAATGACTGAATGTTCAGATTAAAATTATATAATGAATTTCTACCAAATAATCATCCATCATATCCACCTATATTTGTCTTTCTGTTCTAGCACGAATCTCATTACAAACAAAATAAAGGCAATTAGTAACAGAGGCGAGAGTCCACTATTAACCAACTGTGTATAATACTTGGCATACCACTAAGCTTCAATGGATGATGAAAAGAGAGTTGTTATCTCTGAACCCGAGAGATGATCAAATGCATTCAATGCTAGGCCATAGTTCAAATCATCATTCTGCCATTTGCTTGCTTTTAGACTCTGGGAAAGAGTTTTAATATTTCTAGGTTTGTTTTATTATTCATTTTCAAAATAAAATTATAAATATTTATTTCAGGTTGTTCTTATGATGTCAAATGTGATTAGAGAAGAAAAGTACCTGGTACATAATAGGCTTCAAAAAATATATTATTTCTCTTCCCTTACTTCCACAAATCCCTCTGAATTTCCTATGTATTTAGATGGGATTAAAACACTGAATTTAATGGGTATATAATCATGATTCTAATTACAATTTCAAAAACTACACACAATCCTCTATAGAAACTAAAAATCTTATGTTATAAAAACAATACATTGAAAATAAACGTTTAACAAATAAGTCAAGTAGGTATCTACACTTAACCAAAAATTACAAATTTAACTGGTCATAAGTACTTTCAGAAAGGCAAGAAAAAAAGAATTATTTTTATCCTTCATATATGAAAGGGTATCATGGAGGAAAATGCTGGGATTAGTGATAAAATAAAAACAATACAAGGATCCTTAACTCAGTATCAAAATGCTGCCTGGTGTTGAGTAGTATTATGCCTGAAAATTTTTAGCTGGAAATCAGATATACTATTTACATTAAATAAATAATTTAATTCAGATATATTATTTGCATTAAATAAGTAATATAATGCAAGAAAAATTCTACAGTAAATCCACCACAACCACCTTGTCACACAGATTGCAGTTCGTGATCATCAAACCATTCCCCACCCACACCACCCTGCCACTCCTACAGAAAAGGAATTAGTATTAGCAGAGAGAAATAGTGAAAACTTTTCCAATTTAAAAGCTACCATTTAAAACTTTAAGCTAAAAAGAAGAAAATTGCCATTAAAGTAGGATTTTAAAATAAAGTATTTACTTGTGTCAATAAATATATTTTATATTCTACTAGAAAATGAACAGCAATAGCACTTAGAAACCGCACATAAAACACCAGGTAAACTATAAAGTCTTCTAGAGCCTAACTCTGACCTTGGGAAAACAAAGTGTCTGTTATGACTGATGCATTCCATTAAATATTTCTTGTGTCATATTTATTTCTATCGTTTATCCTTCTTTCTCCTTTGTTATTTTTCATTCTGTAAATGGACAGGAAAATAATATCATCTGGAGCTTTTATTCACTCCTGAGGATTTCAGACCCATTTAATTCAACAAGAAGACATTCAGCCAAAGTTTCTCTGAAACAATTTTTCAAATTAATTCTGTTCTTATAGTTACCTAGAATCTATCTTACCTTTGGAAATTTTAGTATATCTCCAGAGAATTTCAATTTCCAAAGAAGTTTTCTTGATGAGCCAATCTTTAATAATACTTCCTTTCCTAAACTCTAACTGCATATTTTAATAGTAAAATTTACTTCAAAACTTAACTTTAAAATTTGTCTAAGTATCAATTTTAATTGTTTGTGGCAGATTTTGCTACTATAAATTCTTCAAAGCCAAGGGCTATACTATTTATCAGTGAAATAATGAACGCAGGATTTGAAGTCAACATTATCTTAATCGTGGGTTTAAATTCTGGCTCTGCCAGTTGTTAGATAAGTGACCTTTAAAAGCATGTCACACAGCCTCTCTGAATGTCTTTAAAATGGGGAACAAAATACTTACCTCACAGTGTTGTTGTGAAGATTAAAAGAGATAACATATGTAAAAGGACTTGGTACATAGTAACTCTCAAAGAAAGGTTGGCTTCCTTCCTTATTTCCTTCTTTTTCCCTCAGTACCTGGTACAATGTTGAGAACATAATAACCCTCAATAAAAACTTTCTAAATATTCATCAGAACTTACACTTCCCAAATATATAGATAACGTTTTCAAATTGTTGTTAACTTGAAATCATACACAGACACACACACCACACACACACACACACACACACACACACACACACACACACACACGATAGGAAATGTCAAACCAGAGTAAGTACGTAAGATTGTTACCTGGAAGAACTAAGTAAGGAAATTAAGGAAGGAGTCTGAAGTGAATGTACTTAAAAATAACTCAGTGATAATAATTATGAATAGGGTGTTCCCTTACGTAAACAGCTATGGACAACTGACAGTTGAATGCTGACCTTAGGAAAAATTAAGTGACAGAGAGGGAGAGGGGCAAGCAGAGAGGAAAGGTATGGAGTGGGTTATTCGAAGAAAGGGGAAGAAAGGAACGTAGAAGGAAAAGACGGAACATTGGTTATACTGCATCTCTTTTTATGTCCCGATACCACTTGATGTAAGCTATTGAAACTGATCATTCCTTGCCCACTTTCCCCTAAAAACAATTCCCAGAATCCCTCCACCTTTCAAAAAAAGTAGCAACTTAAGAGCCATATTAACTTTAATTATCCCTCCAATGAAGGATAACCAAGAGATCATCTTAGAATAGCCAGAAAGATTTTTATTGCCTTTATTAAAAAACAAAACAACTTTTGACTAAAAGCTACAATGATAACCACATGGGCCCTCCTCAGCCTGCAAAAGCTTTGTCTTCCAAAGGCTAGAGAGTCTGAAGAATTTGGTCCTCACTCAGTTCCTCTAGACCTCATCCAAAGCCCTAAGGCAGAGCCAATGATAACTCCCTTTTGGCCACAGTGGTTTTGTTTTGTTTTGTTTTTGCCAAAAGGAGGTATAAGCAGACTTGGTGAATGTATCTCACATTGTTTAGTTGTAACAAGAATTAGCCCCTAGGATCCAAGTCCCTGGCATTAAATAAAACTGGAGTCTCCCCCTTTCCTTCCCAAGTGGCCCAATCAAGCAATAGCAATTGGCCTTAACCGCAAGGGATTGCTGTAAAGGTTTTCCTTAAAATCTATAATAGTATTTAAAGAAAACTCAACAAAGCAGTTTTCTTTCCACTCCAATGAAATTTAGCTACAGAGAGAAGAATGACTGCCAATTCAACAAATATTACTGAGCATCTTCTCATATTAATACTTCAATTTGGGTAGCACCTTTCAAATTTACAATATTTTCACATATATCATCTCATTTAATCTTGACTGTACCTGTGAGAAATACATTATTGTTATCCTTGCTGTTCAAAGATGAGAAGAATGAAGATCAAAAAACTTACGTGATTTGTCCAACGTCACAAAGCTACTGAAGAAGTTAAAAAAAAATCAAGTTAAACTCCCAAATCCAATGATCTTCCACTATACCAGAGACTGAAACAAATGCTATAGAAAAAGTTTTAAATGTGTATATACGAGTCATCACCTTCTAGAAGTGGACTGATCTTTCTGATTCTACATAAGCATCCATATTCCTTTATATTTTAACAAATGAGATACAGAAGATAAAGCCTACTGATGATTTTGGATTAGATTAGGAAACAAAGGTGAGAGATTCAAGATACTGGCTGTCAAACAGAAATCTGAGCAGGTCACCTAGGGTGTTAATAATTAGTGAAACTATATAGTGGGAAACTCAAATAGTACACACATAAGTTTATATTTATAAACTTTCAGAGATGCACTGGGTTGCTTTCTTACCCCTGAAAGCTAGATTTGAAACACATGACTGCCAGAGTATTTTCCAATAATATAGGGTTACACTTTTTCTTGTCAAACTGGAGTGCAATTTGAATAAAAGGGAGGAAACAAGTGACAAGTAAGGCATTGTTACCTTGTAGTCTGGAGGGTGGGGGGAAAGACTTCCTTTTAAAGTGATTTTTAGAAAGGTTTTCTTCATTTTCAATTCTAAATTTGGTTAATGGGTTAAGTTTTGCAAACAATATATTAACATAACATCATTTATGATAATGAAGCCTGGGAACAAATTTAACTAAATTTACAATAAGACACTTTATGATGAATATTTAAATATTTAGTACTTACACTAAGATATACCTATTGCTAGATTTAACTTTCCATTTACCTCAAAGTTTGATCACAAGTAAGGATAAGAAAGCATCAAATCATCAAATGATCAAGTACATAAAAAAATGGCCTAAGAAATCAAGGAAAATAAAAACACGATTAGAAATTCCATATGTTATTGAACCTAAAAGAATATAGCAATTAGCTTCAAAAATAACATGTAAAACATTAAGGAGTAACAGAAGAAAAAAGGAAAAGATATAGAGTATATAAATATAGTTATGATTTTGGGCAAGTGTGTTGGATATATATCATGTGGATATACAATATATAAAATAATTACAATTCAGCCTTCCCTTGTGAAAAATGGAGAATATCTGATTTTTTTTTCTGAGCAAGGAGATGGTATTTGCAAATAACTTTTTAATTCAGAGAGGAGAATATTTGAAAGCAAGAAAACAATTCATAGAGAACTGCTGAACTGAGCTCAGTAGGTAATAGTATGGAAAGGAAGCAGCAGTGGACAACACTTTGATGAGTGACTCATGGCCTATTTTTCTACGAATATATCCTTTCCACTGCAAACTATAACTAGATAGGTCCTCCCCTACTTTTTAAAATCAAATACTGATTTGGGCACCCAAATTTTATGGTTCCTAATGGTTTTCATTAAAAGTATCAATATGTTTTTCAAGAACTTTCACTATCTGATTACATACTATTTAATCTTAATTTTTATTCCTCTTCAACATAAGTTCTCTATCCATCTAGGATACTGCCTACACTATTCACAAAATAAGCAAGTTAAAATCTCTCTTCTTATGTGTGCTTAAGTTGTTAAATTTACTGACAATGCCCTCTTCTAAAAACCTACCCTTCAGGACTCATGTTAACCTTATCTCATGAACAAATTCTCACTTAGTCACTCTCTGTTACCCTTACATATTGCTTCTCTCAACTTCTACTGCATTTGTTTTAAATAAAATTCACTTAGGGAATTACTCCCATTTACCTTCCCGTTGCTATTTGTTTCGTACTAATATCATCCATCCCTGCATATAAAAGCTATATAAGATTCTATAAGGATCGATAAACATTTAACATTAAATTATTATGTCATCTCATAGTCCACATATTTATATAGTTTTTGGTTTTTCTAGATGTACAAGATTATTATTCTAGGTGGCACTGTATTGAGTAAGACTAAGAATCAACTCATAAGCTTTTTCCCTCTTCCCATGTATTTCCATGAAAGCATTAATGAAAATGAACGGATTTTTCTGTATACTTCAACATTTATTCAGAGATAAAGACACTTTTTGTTAGGTTTAAGCCCCATAAATTCCTTACATTTTTTTCAAGGACAGAGAGAGAAATAGGTAAAGCATAAACATTTCTAAAATTGGCCTAAGAAATGCAGACTAACCTATTTTTTTTTATAGAAGGGACTGAGGAAAGTTTACAGAGAAGTAAAGATATTTTCAAGGTAGGCCAGTATATGCTGTACAGAGTAAGGCAGAATTCTAGAGGTGCTTATTGAGACAAGGGCTGGCATTCTTCTCTTACACCAGAGAGTAAAAAGAAACCTTTCAGAAATAGGATAAGGCCCAAAGACATATGGGCAAATACGCAAGTATTATGACAATATGTATATCTTACAGTATTTTTTTATTCAATGATGAGAGTTAACCTGTGCACAGATGATCTTAATCATCCATCATCAGAAATCCATCACACCATAAGTCTATTTAGAGATGTACTTTGCTTAGAAAAATGCCTTTTTAAAACTTACATCTCTATAGCACTATATTTAGAAGGCATCTTTAAATCTAGTTCATATTTGATTCATTCAAAGAAGGATAAAGATCAAATATTATTACCCACATTCTACAGGACTTTAAGATTTCTCATTCAAGACCTCATTACTTTAAATCTATAGAAAACGTGTCATACTTTGGATCTCAAATGTCCTCCAAAGTCCCATGTGTTAAGGTAAAGGCTCGATCCTGAGTTTGGCACTCTTGAGAGGTGATGGGTGGGCCTAGTAGGAAGCCTTTAGGTCATAGAAGGTGTTCTGTTGAAGGGAATTGTAGGACTCTGGTTCTTTCTCTTTTTTTGCCACCTGGCCATGAGATAAGCAATTTTGCTCAGCCACATGCTCCCACCATGATGCACTGCCTAACCAAAGGCCGAAAAACAGAGTAAACCAATCATGGATTGGTACAACCAAAAACTATGTGTCAAGATAAATCTTTTCTCTTTTTAAGTTATCTCTATTTGTTACAGTATCTGAAAGTTGACTTAACACAATGTCATGGTATGGGGATGGGGGAGGGAAATAAGATTTAAATGATAGTGAAGTAATATCAGTTTTAATCTTGATGCTTAACTATCATTACGTAGTAAGGCAACCTTAAAAAGATCACTGACTTTTCAAAGGCTTCATTTTTCTCATATAAAAAAAGAAAAAAATTGGATGAAATGTTTTCAGATATTCACTCAAAAGCAGTTAGTAAGTCATTATATGTAGGCACTGGAAGCTGTATATAAGATAAATAAGACTACGTTGCTTCCCCTAAAATAACTCTGAGGTATATACATGAACTACATGAACTAAACAACCAAGAAAGAAAGTAGTACAAGAAAAGATAACAGCTTGATGAAGGACCAAGAGGAATACTTTAGAAGGAACATGAAGAGGAATATAAATCTGAATTAAATCTTAAATGAAAGCAAATTATACAGGCAAATAGAGGACAGAAAAAAATTTCAACCAGAGGGAAGACATAAACTAAGGCTAACAGTAGAAAAGCAGCAAAAGTTAAATAGGGAATTATAAACAATTCAGTATTACTAAAACACAATTGTAGAACAGAAGAGACATGCAAGCAAGAATTGAAAGGAGAGGCCAGAGAGATCCTTGTATGATATATTAAGGTAACTGGATATTATCCAGTGGACAATGAAGATCCAAGGTAAGGCTTTCACAGGGGAATGGCATAGTTAGGGTGTAATATCAGAAAGATAATTTTGGTATGGGGTTGGGGGGAGGAAAATAGATTTAAATGATAGTGAAGTAATGTCTGAAGGAATATGAGTGGTACAACTAGAGGCAGAGAATCTAGTTAAGAATCCATAGCAGAGACAATGATGGTTCATTCCAGGGGAATTGCAGGGAAAGACATAACAGGTTCAAGAAATAAGCAAATCAGCAGAACTAGAAAGGGAATCAGGAGTTGGGTAAAGATGTGAAGGGAAAGATAACGATGAAATGGATCCAAATTTGTGTTCAGGCAGAGACAGAACTGACATATTGGATACAAGGGAAGAAACAGACAAAATCATCTTGAGTTTAGCTTAGGACATGTAAAGTCCAAAAAGCATCTAATATAGAGATGTCCTGAAAGTCAAGTGACTTTAGAAACCTAATGCTCAGGAAAGTAGCCTGGTCTAAAGAGATATAAGGGTAGGAGTAAGCTGCATATAGGTTTTAACAGAAATGCTAAACACCTCATTCAAGTGAATGTACCTCACTCAAGGAAGAGGTACAAAATGCAAAGTGTCCTCAACCAGAATTCTGTTAAATACCAAAATAATGCATTATACAAAGAGAAAAATCAGGAGATATCTCAGGATATTATATAATGTAAGAGATCATCATAGAAGGAGAATGTAATCAAAAGAATAAATGAAGGCCAGATGGAAATCCAGAAAAAAATAAGAACTAAAAAATGTCTTCTAGACTTAATGATGGGGTTCAGCACACACTTCCCCAAAATAACACTGAGGCATTTGAGAAAACAGTAGAAGTAGGAAGGACAGCCTTACCCTTCTCCCCTGAAGCAGGTCATAAAAACCTAGGAAGAATTCTCTGATTTTTCCTTGAAGGAGGTCTTAAGATGCTCAGTGTAGAGAGTTCCTCCCTATACCTGGAGCAAAGAAACATCCTCATCTCTAAAGACACTGTGTCCCTGTGTCTAAACAAACAGGCCTTCATAAAATACCCTCATTTATTACTACTAGATTATCCCCTTTTTCCATTGATACTTCCTTCATTTTAGCCATATCTTCATCAAACCTAAGCATAGACATATATAAGTTCATGTGTTTCTTTGTTTCCAAAGGGTCCCATGCCATGTAAAACTTACATTAATTAAGTTCATATGTTTTTATTTTTCTCTACCTGAAAAATTAAGTGGTCACTGGAGAATTCATGAAAAGTAGTTTCAATCAAGTAAATAAAGGAAGAAACTAGACTGCAGTGATTAAAAAATAGAAATCATGAGTGTAGACTACCGTTGTGCAAAATTTTAATCAGATGGGAAGGAATTAAAAATTTAATTTAAAAAGAACAATTCTAAAATGCCTTCCAGTTCTCATGCTTCACTTTATTCATATGGATAAAATGCCTAGTTTAGTAAGATTTTATTAAAACCCACATAAATGTGAAGTAGGCTTTTAATTATAAGAAAAATAGGGGACTCAGATTATAACTATCAAGAGGACATAACACTTTCCAAAACACCTTACAAATACTTTGCAAAAGTATCCTTTTTTAACTTGTTCTTTCTAGATATACATGAAACGAGAGTGTATTTTGACATATCAAACAAGTATAATTTGTTCCAATTAGGATCCCATCATCGTAGGTATATATGATGTGGAGTTATACTGGTCATAAGGATAGGAAAGATAGGTCTGATTAATTCTACTATCTTTTCTATTCCTATTCCTCCCCCTTCTCTTCATTACCCTGTTGTGGGTTAACATCCACATATCAGAGAGAACATTCTGCCTTTGTTTTTTGGGGGACTAGCTTAGCATATCACTTAGCATGATATTCTCCAGTTCTATCCATTTACCAGCATATGCCATAATTTCATTCTTCTTTATGGCTGAGTAACATTCCATTTTGCATATATACTACGTTTTCTTTATCCATTCATCTGTTTTAGAGCAACTAGGATGATTTCATGGCTTAGCTATTATGAACTGAGCTGCTATAAACATTGAAGTGGTTGCTTCACTACAGTATGCCAATATTAAGTCCTTTGGTTATAAACTGAGGAGTGGGATAATGGGTCAAATGGCGGTTCCATTCCAAGTTTTCTAAGGAATCTCCATACTGCTTTAATATATATATATATATTCTTTTAAAATATATATATATATATATATATTAAAGGGTGCAAGAGTGAAAGGGAAATAGGGAGAAAAGGAGACTACTGGTGAAAGAAACTTTTCATGTTCCAACTATGCCTTCTTTTAATGCTTCATAAAAACATTGTTTGTCACCTCTGCCTGGAATATTCTTCTATAAATAATCTGCATAACTTCTATAGAATCTTCAGGGACCTGTTCAAAGCCTCCCTATAAAATCATGAACTGTGAAGGATCAAAATGCCCTTATAAATCCATTGAACTCAGATTGTTTCTACTATGCCAAAGATGAGAGTTTCAGAGAATGACCTAAGGTCTAAGGTATCAGAAGAAATAATGCAATTAAAAGATAAGGCAAAGTTGTTGTACAAATTTAAAATAATTCATTTATTGTAAGGTCCAAGTTAATAATATCCCTGAAACCTAAGGAACTATTCTAAATACAAATTCATTAGTTTGAGTCAAGTATCAACAACTACTTTATATAAAGATTACAGATGTCAACTAATATTTATCTTATAGATAAGTTGACTGTCAGTCACTAAATAGAATTTTTCCCCAAGAGTGCAGCATTTATTTCAGCCTCTGCCAGTGGAAGTGTTAGAGCAGATGTTGGCAGACTGTGACATACAGTATGTCTTTAAAACTTGTTGGGGTGTGAAATTTCATAAGGTCAAAAAATGCTGCATTTTGATCAGCAGATAAAGGAATTCTGCGCTTTTCCAAATTATTTCAGACAAACCAATAGAATTACTAGCAAAATGGACAAACTAAGAAACTATACTACTTTAGGTGATACATGACAACATACATTGCTAAGGGTTTAAAAGATAAATTCTATGTCTTTAAAGCAAATGTTCACCCAAAAGATTTTCAGAATAAAAATATGTTCTTAAGTCAATACAAAATATAATTGACAAAAGAATTTAAAACATAATTTCCTACTGAAACAAACCCATTAATATCTAATGAGCATTCTGGTTGGGAAAAAAGATGGTTTCTTTTTAATACATACTATTCTTATTTTTGTAAAAATAAAACCTCTATGTAAAAATCTACTGACATAAATGTAGAGGGCCTTTATTATAAGCTGGTATCCTTATCATTCAAATGATTCCACAAGCCCTTTGGTTTATCTTTTCCTTTAAAAAATGAAATAAATAAGGATAAAGAAGACTAACTCTCTTATAATGATAAATTGAATGTTAATAACATTCAGAAACTATTGATTTCTTGGATTTTTAAAATTGTTATTTAACTGAAATTTTTTAGCTTCAATTTTTCCTCATGTTTTTCAAGTATGGCTGAGATAAGTATGACCAAAATAAAATTTAAGGAGGCTGTCCAGTTAAAAATTTATTTTCATGATCCAGAGTCTAGCAAGCTCTCATAAAAGTTGATTTTTAGTTTAACTTTAAAATGTTTTATTTCTGAATTAACACAGAAAGATCCTTTCACTGATGAATCAGCAAGTCTGAACAGCCTGAAGAGCCTGGTCATGACATATCAGTGATAACTGTCATTTTTCAGTTTATTTTGTACCATGTTCAAATACAAAATTTCTAAACAAGTTAAACCAACTATGAACATAAAATCTTCTCAGAAAATTGTTTCTCATGTAAATAATTTTGTTTCTCACAATACAATCAAATGACCTAAGTTTGTAATAGAAAACTTTGAACACCTGACAAACTAAGTTCAATCTAACAACCAAGTTCAAAAGTATTCTTTTACATCTTCTAAAGAGAAACCTGTGGCACATATCTCGAAATTGTATTTATCACATGCAAATTCTAAAATGAAAAACATTAAACTATATGACACTGTATAAGATTATATGCTTAATCACGATAAATTGAAATTTCTATCAAAGCTAAAAATTTGTTATTTAAAATGGATCCAAACTTTCCCATAGGCTTCTTATATATTGTAAAATGTTAAAAATCCTATAAATAAATAAAAACAAGGTGAATCAACAATTATAATCAACTTACTTGCCACTGAAAAGTTGTTGAGGGGATAAGGTAAATCCACATCTTGAGGTTTCTCTTTATATCCTATGAATGAGCCATCTGTCTTCAAAAGGAAATATCTTGGCCTCCAGTTTTTTATATATTCTCCTACGTGAGGAAAGCATGCATGTTAATGCTGCAAAAAAAAAAAATGAACAGCAGCCTTTACACGAAAAATAAATTATGATGCAATATATGTCCTACAACATTGGCCTTCAAAAATTTAGTTAGGCAATTTTAACTTAGCTTACAAAAGAAAATACATAAGCCTACAATTAACATTCAATAAAAACCCAAACATGTTTTGTTTTTCATGATTTCACACTTTGATAATTCATTTGCACCATTATTCCTTCAGAGAATCATTCATCTGAGTACACATTTTGTTCAGTTTTTCATTTTATCAGATGGTTGTGAGAGCATATTTATTACCAGCCGGTTTAAAAAGCCTTGGTAAATCGGGCACACAGTATCTATGAATTTCGATGAAAACCACTTATAAGAGGAATACAAAATAGATGTTTCTCTTCCATGTGCCATTAACTAATAACATAATTTGTAAAAAAAAAAAAAAAAAAGAGTTAAGTTTTCATTGTTAAATCTTGACTGTAACTTTATTTTTGGAGGAAAATAACCTTTCACACAGCGCTGTAAATAAATCAAGCACACACACAAAAAAGCATGAGTTAATAGCACTTAAACCATATACCAACTCACACATACACACACAAACATAATTGTTAAGAACACATGGCACAGTGCCATTACATAATCCAATAAACATATACATACATAGATTTATAAATAAGCTCTACTTAGCCACAAAACAGATTCTTCCTAATTCTAAGCAATACAGGTGCTCCATGATACCACAAGAACTGGATGGCTAGCTGGTCTCATTTTCCAGCTCTCTACTGGATATTTCTAACTTGTTATTTAATCTCAAATGCTGAATCACAGAACTACACAAAAAAAGTAAGTAGTTCAGTTTTTGATACAAATCAGCTTCTTCTCTTGACCCAAGGTCAAATCTAACATCTGACTTCTCTGACTCTTTATCCTATCAGTAACTAGGTCAATATAGACTTCATGTATCATGAAATATAATCTTTTGCCAACATATATTTCGGCTGTGGAATCATTTCTCTGAATCAGCAATTCTCAGACTTACTTCAGAACATCTTTATATCCTTAAATGTTACTGAGAACTCAAAAAGAGTTTTAAGTTTATGTAGGTTATATTTGTGTTTACCGTGTTACAAATTAAAAACAAGAAAATTTAAAACTTGTTATTACTTTCTTTAAAGGTAACAATAAACCCAGTACATGCATAAAATTAACTATTTTCAAAAACAATATAAGAGCAGTACTGCTTTGCATTTATGCAAATCTCTTTAATGTCTGGTTTAATAGAAATAGATTTTCTCCTCTGCTACTGCATTCACTTTGCTCCACTATGTTGTTTTAATTGAAATACAGCAGAAAAATCTGGCTCAAACAGATATACAGTTGGAAAGGAGAAGACTGACTATTCAAATAGTTATGGATATATTCTTTGATACTATACCAGATTTCAACAAGGAGTAGATTCTAAAAGGTTAGTTGCATTATGGAATTTGAAACCTTATCAATAAACTTTCTGTACATTTTGTGAAAAAATGTTCATCTACATTAGACTTTGAATGAACCTTTTACACTGTGCATGTTATTTGGAACATTATACACTGGTCCTACAGAAAACACTTGTTTACTGACTTATGAATACCCAAATGTCGACAAATTTCACATTTACATTTTTTATCAAGACCACCACGTCATCCTACTAGTCTCAGAGTGGTAGAAACATTTTCTAAAATTTTATTATTTCTTTAAAAGCTCAATATTCATTATTGTAGCAAATAATTTCAGTTTTTTTCCCCTTGTGTAATATACTCTGAAGTGTTCAGTCTCGTATCACTCTTCACTGAGGTGCAATAACAATTCATTAAATAAACAGAGGAAATATAGGGGCATCTTTCTCACAAATATTTAAGTGCATAAAAGAAAAAAGACAAAAAAAACCTAATGCCCTTCCATCATTTTACTGAAAAAAACATAGTACTAACGTTGACAGTCTCTTAAGCTAAATTCACAAAAGCAAAAAGAATTAAATTCACAGTTCCCATTTTAACAATGAAATAGTTCCTCTTATTTATCCTTATTTTAATTTTCTGTTTTTACTTATGTATTCCTATATAAAATTTAAAATCACTAGACCTTAATTCTTCAATGAATGATACAAAAGCAGACTTCAAATGTTGTAAAATAGTAATGTAGATTTATATTGGTACAATATATAAGTCTGTTGAGCTAAATAGCAATAGTTTAATAATTGTATCAAAGATAAAATGAAACTATCATTTGAAAAAATTGAAAAAACATAACACAATTTCTTTTTATTTTGAACAGAACAAAATACACCTATTCAGGAAATGTGAGATTAAAAAGAAATAAAAATCTGATTTTTATTTCTAAGCCTACTTTCCTTTTAGCCATAAAGTATTTACACCTTCAGATGTCAGAAACAAAAACATCACCATATAAATGAATCTTTTAAATCAAATTTTAGAAATTTAAAATACTTTATGTGGTCTATAACAGGACTTCTGGTTGCCAAAAAGTTCTTTTAAAATAAATTATGCATCCCTTAAACATAGTACATTATATACAGTAAGATATTCATTCACACAGAAGAAAAATTGAAAATTTCCCTTCTTGCTAAGAGGAAAAAAAGCATTATTTCTAAGTTTTTAAAATGATTTTGAGTTGACTCAATTAACAGTTATCATACTAAGCTAAAAGTAGATCTCAAACTTTCAATAGAGATTCCTTTTTTGTTTTGTTTTCTTATCATTGTTCATCTACAATATGAATTGATTTAGAAGGTGCTTAAAGAGTATATTCATTTATTTGGTAATTTGTCGAGGTGCTTGAGATGTGACCCCCTCCCCAACCTCTGCCAAAAAAAGGATGAGGTCTCTAACTTCATGGGACTTATTCCAGTATTTCGCCAGATTTCAGGTGTCCCCTAAATGTTAGAGAAGGGTGCTAAGTAGTTCCTAAGAATCTCTCTTATATGTTCCCAATAAAATGCTGCAAAAAAGTTCACATAATAGTATGGTATGTTGCCCTAATTAAATATTCAGTATCTAGTTCCAAAAATGGAATGAAGAGGTTGTTTAATTTATAAAGAAATGGGCCTGACAGAGGGACACAGACTCAACAGATGGGAATTAAAAATAATAACAAAATAAGCAAGCTTTCTTGTCACTTTATGGAGGACAAGATCACTAGCCTGAAAGAGTATAAAAAATTATTGCTTTTCACAATATCCAGGCAAGAAACTGTGTATACTAAGGATTAAGTAAGAGGGAAGAATTGTTCTGGCAGGCTAGGGATCTTAACTGGGTTTTGACCAGTTGATCAAGGAAAAGGAACTAAACACTTTTCATCACTAGCTCAGTAGCTGAAGTAGTCAATGTTGAGCTAAGAAACATGTTCTCAGACTATTCTAAAAATATGGACAAAAAGTTCTGGCTTTTATGAAGCTAAGTACCCAAAACAAAGGTACCTCCCTTGCAACCAATTCTCTTTAGATAAACTGTTAAAAGTCAGCCACAATTTTACTTTCAAACAGAATTTTCACCTAAATTCATATTGGATGGAGTAATTAATTTTTACTATACTTTCATATTTATGACTTATAGGTTTCAATTTAAGATAGCTTGATTATAATAGAAAGTCATTTAAAAAAGGATTCATGTGATACCAACTATTCTCAAGGGATTATTCTATGGACACTCACCAGTATACAGCTAAAATTTGCATGCATTGTCATGATTAACCTTCAGTAAGCACTGCAGTCACAACTGGACAAAGTGTCCAATACAACCTCTTCTCAGCTTTTTCTATCTACTTTAATGGGTACTTCTTTTTCATCCTCTTTGCCTGGAGGTTATATTTATTTTGAAATACATGTAATACCAAAATACTTACATAGTTGTGCTTTGCTTAATGACAGAGATACATTCTGAGATACATTCTGAGAAACACATCCTTACGTGATTTTCTCATTGTGCAAACTTCATAGAGTTTACTTAGATATTTAGCTTACTATACTACCTAGGCTACACTGTGTGTATGTATAACCTATCACTCCTAGAGCCATGATGAACAAAGCAACACAAGACTGAATCAAGCCTAAGAAGAAATAATGCAATTAAGAGATAAGGCAAAAAACAAGAGATTCATGAGGCTGCTGCTGACCATACACAGTATATGATATTTTACAGTAGATACTTTATTTCAATTAAGTAGGAGGAGGTAATTCTAAAATAGTGATTAAAAATTATAGTACAGTAAATAAACTAATACATCATTTATTGTTAAGTATCATATTGTAAATAGTTGTATGTGCTATACTTTTTGTATGGCTGACAGCACAGATTTATTCCAGCATCATCCATAGACACATGACCAATATGCTGGCCTGTGGCAAGGACTTAGTTAGGTAACAGGAATTTTTAACTCCATTGTAATCTTCTGGAACCAACATGGTACATGTGGTCCATCACTAACCAAATCCAGTTGACTGTATTTCCCAAAAAAAGATCCTGATATATTGGCTTTTATAGTAAACTGAATGATGGACCCTCAAAATATACATACATGCTAATCCCTGGAACCTGCAAATATGA